GCGGACGCCACAGCACTGCGAGCATGGATCCCGCTGCGACCATCGCTGCAGTTGTGGCCATTCTCAATGCCTCGCAGCTTATCATACACCTTTCCCTGAGGCAGATGCAGAGAAATCAGGAGAGGAGGCTACGGCACCGCCGTGAGGGCCTGAAGTCGGAGAGTAGCACAGAGCTATCAGAAACCACGAGACCCAGCGCCCAGGACATCACGGTGGCAATGGGTCATGTGGATGTTGTGGAACGGCGATTCTGGGCCTGGGAAACAAGCACGGACTGGTGGGACCGCATAGTGCTGCAGGTCTGGGATGAATCCCAGTGGCTGCGAAACTTTCGCATGCGGAAGGGGACTTTCCTTGAACTTTGTGACTTGCTGTCCCCTGCCCTGAAGCGCAATGACACCCGGATGCGAGCAGCCCTGACTGTCCAGAAGCGAGTGGCCATAGCCCTCTGGAAGCTTGCAACGCCGGACAGCTACCGGTCAGTCGCGAACCACTTTGGTGTGGGCAAATCTACCGTGGGGGTTGTTGTGATGCAAGTAGCCAACGCAATCGTTGAGCTACTGCTCTCAAAGGTAGTGACCCTGGGAAACGTGGAGGTCATCATAGATGGCTTCGCCGTGATGGGATTCCCAAACTGCGGTGGGGCTATAGATGGGACTCACATCCCTATCCTGGGACCGGACCACCAGGCCAGCCAGTACATCAACCGAAAGGGCTACTTTTCAATGGTGCTGCAAGCACTGGTGGACCATAGGGGACGTTTTACAAACATCAACGTCGGATGGCCGGGCAAGGTTCATGACGCTCGTGTTTTCAGGAACTCTGGTCTGTTTAGAAGGCTGCAGGAAGGGATTTACTTCCCGGACCACAAAATAACTCTTGGGGATGTGGAGATGCCTACAGTGATCCTCGGGGACCCAGCCTACCCGCTAATGCCCTGGCTCATGAAGCCCTATACTGGCGCCCTGGACACTGAAAAAGAACTCTTCAACTACCGGCTGAGCAAGTGCAGAATGGTGGTGGAGTGTGCTTTTGGCCGTCTCAAGGGGAGATGGAGAAGCTTACTGACTCGCTGTGATCTCAGCGAAACCAATATCCCCATTGTTATATCAGCTTGCTGTGTGCTCCATAATCTCTGTGAGAGCAAGGGGGAGACCTTTATGGCGGGGTGGGAGGTTGAGGCAAATAGCCTGGCTTCTGATTACGCCCAGCCAGACAGCCGGGCGATTAGAAGAGCCCAGCGGGACGCGCTGTGCATCTGGGAGGCTTTGAAAGCCAGGTTCCTCAGTGAGCAGGGTAACCTGTGACTATTAACTTTGTTTAAAGAGAAGCTGAACCTGCCCCCGTCTCTTTACCCAGTTTATGTTGACTATCCTCTCCAGCTACATACCCCCTTCACCCCCTTCCCAAAAAATAAAATCTGTTCTGTTTTGTTAATGAACACCGTTGTCTTTATTACTGTTTTCGCGGGAATATTTTAAACCGGGGACGCAGACTGTGGCGGGGGGCGGGTTTAGTGTTCTGATGCAAATGATGCTTCTAAACTCCCGGAATGACAGGCTCCGCAGTGGTGGACTGGTTGTTTCAACGGAGCCTGCCAGCACTCCTGGGCGGGACTGCGTGTATGTGTCGGATATGTGACTTTCTGGCAGGGGGAGGAGGGTTACAGATCCCCTGCTGCGTGGCTCTGTGATCCAGGATAAGGACCGCTGCATAAGATTAGTAACTGCCCTCCCCCACCACAAAGTCACAGAGCTACCCCCCGCCCCCCAGAACATGAAAACCATCTCCCAGACTGACCAGGGCAACTAGTGACTGCACTGTGTACCTGCCCCCGCCTCTGTACCCTGCTAAAGGTGACTGTCCTGTCCAATTACCAAGCCCCTTCCCCCCCCCTTCAGACAGACTCTCCTCCAAAAGAAAATCATGGAAACAGTAATTAACAGAAACGAATATTTTATTATGAACCACACATGAAACGAGGGGTGGTGAAACTTGGACGGGGGCTTGTGTGAGGAGGGTAGGAAAGGACTTTTCAAGTTTTGGGGAATGAGAGCCCAAGAGTGCTAGAGCAGTCTGCACTGGTTGACTGAAAGTTTTAACGGCCCTTGCCGCCCCTCCTTCTTTGTACTTTGGGTGAGGGGGGTGTGGGACTTGGTGGCGGGGGAGGGCGGTTAGAGATAGACCGCAGCGGGGCTCTGTCCTCCTGCCTCCGGTCTTGCAGAACATCCACAAGGCGCCGGAGCGTGTCCGTTTGCTCCCTCATTAGTCCAAGCAGCGTTTGAGTCGCCTGCTGGTCTTCCTGACGCCACCTCTCCTCCCGTTCCATGATTGCTCAGTGCATTTCGGACAAGTTCTCCCTCCACTGTGTCTGCTGGGCTGCCTGGGCTCGGGAGCAGGACATTAGTTCTGAGAACATGTCCTCACGCGTCGTCTTCTTCCTCCGCCTAATCTGCGCTAGCCTCTGGGAGTGTGATGCCAGGCTGGATTGGGAGACCGTCGCAGATGTGTCTGTGGGAATGGGAAAAAGGGAGTGAATTCCTGAGACAGAAAAATGAAGTTGTGAACAAAGAACATAGTCTTTCTCTGTGAACAAGACCATGCACTGCACCTCTCACATGCGCACTCAGGACAAGATCGAATTTTCGGACCTCGCCTTCAGTGCCTGGGGTCTTGCAGTGGCGATCTGAGAAGCGGGGCAGGACACCTCAACTTGTGTAGCAGGCAAACATGGTAAGCTGTAGACTTGTGGCTGCTTAAAACTTTAATAGTAGCACTGGCCTCCTTTCACATTGAAAGCAAAGCCAGTCTCTGCTGCCAGCAATCCGGCAAGCATGAACTCTGCCCCTGTCCCACCCCCTCGCGGCTCTCCCAGGGAAAGATCCCTGTATGCTGCCCCTCTCCCGCCTCCACCGCGTCGCTGTAAAGCAGTCCCAATACTAACATTCCCCTCCCTAATTCAAAGCAGGGCATCATGAGCGACATCACCCTGATGAGGATCTCGGACAGCGAGAAGGAACGCATGCTTAGGGAAAGCATGCAAAAACCAGGGCCGTATGCCGCCATGCTTTGCCGTGCAATGATCCCTGAGTATTTGATTGTCTCCTGGCGAGGAAACGTCTCGTACCATGGAGGACCCAATAAAATCGCTCTCCCCAGGAACCTGATGACCAGGCTTGAACATTACCTCCAGGAGACCTATGTTGAGATCTCCCATGAGGATTTCGTCTCTATCCCCGGACATATAGACCGGATTTTGGTGTAGCTGCACTGGCAGGGACTAAAGAGTGGAGCGTCTTGGGCAGCAGAATCATGAAAAACCGGACATTGTTAGATTTTTTTTAAATAGTTGGGACTAAAAATTTTATCGCCTAAGGCAAAGAAATCATGAAAAACCCATTGTTAATATTATAAATATTCCAGTTCTGTTAAAAAT